TCCGGCGCCTGCTTGGCCTGCACCTGCCCTCTGGGTAAATCACACCGTTCGGTGTGGGGCTGCTAAAGCAGTGCTGGAGCGGATGTGAATCCCCAGCATCCGTGGTGAGAGGCCTGCTGCCCTCTGGTGACAGGAGGCACAGGCGGAAGGGCAGTTTGGGAGGACATTTACTCACGTAAAAGGAGCAGCTGGGGACTTGGGATTTTCAAACATGTCTCTGCGGCTGCAGTACCCAATTTCTGCAGAACTCACAGGGGTGGTGCTCAGCGTACTCTTGGAAATCCCAAATGTTATGTTTGGAAAGCATTACCAGAGCTGCCGTTCGTTAGGAAAGACGCATGTGATGTCTGTGTGTTAGGAGCTGGGATTGTGGTGGGCTTGCTCAGAAACCACCTGTGCACATGGCCCATGTGGTGACATGTATGGGGGGCATGGAGTTATCACAGGGATCTCTAGACTTTTTTTTAAGAGGAGTGTAGAGTTTCCCGCTGCTGTGGAAAGCACATAGGGTATGGTCTGGGAATGCCATGCTGCCTTTTAGGATACTTTTAAAGTAACTTCCATTCAGTGCCTGTGTGAGAAGTATTGCACAAGGAAAAATCTGCTCATGGTTGTGTCCTCCTCTGCCTAAATTGCTTGTGGTAGCCATAGCAAAGAGGTGCAGCTGGGACCTTGTGGTTATTGTGGCAGTATTGAATCCTGACACGAAGAAGAGGTTGAGGAAACTTGCTGATATCTGAGGAAGGTAAACAAGTTGTGGCAGGTGAAACTGGAGAGAAATTTCCAAATCTTAACAGTGCTGGAGTTGCTTTTGGCTGAGCGCTGCTTTAAAAAAGCCTTTGGGATCTGGAGAACTGAGTCGTCTTGTAAAGCCCCACTGCCTTCTTGTTTCATGTCAGCGTGCAGAATAGCGGCAGTGGATCTAGAGGGGGTCCTGGCATAAGTGAGAGAGAGAGAGAGAGAGAGAGAGAGGGCCCTGCTGGGGACTACATGTCCCAGCATGCAGCGCTCTCGGCACAGCTGAGCAGCCAGTTTGGGCAGTGCTGCTGCTGGTATCTGCAGCCTCCTGGCAGTTTTATCTATGCTGTTTCTGCTGGTAGAGCAGAAACAGGACCTGGGTGGGAAGAGAGTTTTACTTCTGTCCTTGGGGACAGTGTCTCGATACTACAAAGTTTTTTGTCAGCGCGGGATGTCACGTTGTCACCACAGTGTCTTTTGCAGAGGAGACAGAGCACCTGCTTTTGCTTCCTCTGCAGCGACTGCTCCTGAGTCCTCCTTGGCAGGGTCCTGCTGACTCTCATGAGCCCGTGGGCCCTGGGGTGGCCAAGACGTGTGGGGCCAGCAGAGCCCTCTGATCATTGTTGCAGCCATAGAGCTAGCTGTTCTCGGGAAGCTGCGCTTGTTGACTGAGGTCACTGCCTGGGTGCCTGCTCTTCCTGGGTCCGTTCTGCAAGTGGGACAGGGCTGGGGCTGTGTTTCGGCACTACCACTGATGCACCTTGTTTCTGTTCCCCTGTGTGAGGAAGGTTTCTTACCCCTTGCTGGAAGGAAAGCTGGTGGTGATTACTCTGTGCTGACTTCAGGACTTTGCTGTCGGAGGCATGGCTCACTGATGGATTCACCCGCTCTGCCATCTTTTCAGCAAACTGGGCAGAGGAGCTCTCTATACGTTGTCATTCACCTCTATCCTTCCTGCAGAGATGGACTTCAGGGGATAATGGATCACTTTAATTTCACTTTTAGGGTTGTTGCTTCATTCCTGGCAGCATTCTCAGCAGGCAGATCCAAGTGCCCAGGCCCTATATACTCCTATATATAGCGATATAGCGATGAGCTTTCCTGGGCTGTGTTCCCTCGGCGGTTTCAGGTCTTGTTCCTTCTGGGCACGCAGAGCAGCAGGAAAGGAAGTTCCCTCCCTGAGTTCAGCTGACCTTTGAGGGCTGGGAAGCACATCTGCACTGCTCTTCTTCCTCCTTTTTGTCTTGTACCAGCTTTTACTCCTGGTGCATCTCTGCCCTCTGCTTCTCAGTCAGCCTGTGCACGAGCTCCCAGACCTATTCTCCTTTTAGGGCTGTCATACTGCTTCTGACTCTCAGAGGATGGTTCAAGGGAATGGTTATTAGTCCCACTCTTGAAAGTTGATGTTCCTTGACTCCAGAGTCTTTCCCAGTCCTTTACCTGCGCTTAGTGCTCTGACCCTGGCTGTGCTTGTTCCCTGCAGCGCTAGAGTTGGTAGATGCTCTCGTTTACTCTCTGGAAATCCACAGCGCCTAGAGGACCAGGATGCTCTCTGGATACAGAATAAGAAGACACACCACTTAGCAGTATTTGAGTATGGGACAACAGATGTGGAAAGGGAAACGTGAAGCCATGTTGCTTAGAAAAAATGGTGCCCACAGCTCACTTCCAACATAGCTGTAGTCAAATTTATCAAAGATATCACAGCTGGAGGAATTGATGAGTGAGGTTTGATGCAGGACAGGTGTGAAGGGCAGCGAGAGAGAAATCCCAAAGGGAGTCATTTGTACATTAACAGATGGCTTGCGGAGGACATCATTGTGGGTTATTTGGCAGTACGGTTCTTCTGTGGGAGGATTTTGCCTGATTTTTCTCCACCTTGCACCACATGAGAGGGACCCCCTTCCTCCAGTGGGTTGTGTGGGCTCGGTTGCGTTTCTGAGCCTTCTTTCCGTCCTTTCTGTCTGCAGCACCTGGCAGTTCTGCTTCCTGACGCCCTGTTATTTGACCGACTCTTATTCTTTCTTTTTCAGTTTTGCTTGTGATCACGCACAAGTGAGCCAGGTGACAGTAACCTCCTGAGAATTCAGCTTGATCTCTCAAAGTTTGGAGTTTGCTTAAAAGCTTTTTTCTTCAGCTGGGAAGTTTCCTTGCAAATCTTTGTTTTTCCTTTGCTCCTCTCTTTCATAGTCTCATTTGCTTTGTCTTGTGAATGCTTAGCTGCCAGTGAATATATTTCCCCATGTTTCTGTTAGTGTCCTCAGCTGATTGTGAATCCTGAATGAACAGCAGCTGAGCTCACATGCTCTGCCTTTCAGAGAGCTTTTTCAGGACTGGCTAGTGGTTTGCAGTCATACTCGCCTGTGTTGTGGCCTCAGCAGCTCCACCCCCCACCGCCACCCTGCAGCTAAGCAGCGTGATGGTAGAACAATACTTGGATGGGAGGCCTCCAAAGAAGTCCTGTGTGCCGTAAAAAAAAAAGTACGGTTAGTGATTCATCCAGAAGTGCTTTTTAGTAATGAATCTTTGTCCCAGGCTAAGGCTGATGTTAACACTGGGATTCTTGTTATTGGAAGTTAGCAAAGATCCAAAGCCTTTTATGCAAGAGCTGAAGTGATAATCCAGATCTCCTGGCCTCAGTCCATTCGGGGTAATTGCATTCTTCCTGGGGAGTGTTTTCAACCAGTCCCTATTGGATGGTTCACCATCACTTCCTGTGCTAGGGCAGTATGCGGGTGGCAATACTTCAGTGGTGTCCAAAGCAATTCATGTCACTGGGGTGCTGAGGCTTAGAGCCTTCTGAGAGTCTTGTCTAAAAGGCAATATGGCAGAGCAGAGAACTGGTGGAGGGTTGGTGTGTGGGTTTTTTTTTTTCTCTCTCTCTTTTTTTTTTTCTTTTTTTTTTTAGTACACACACATTGTACGCATACTGGGGTTTGTTCTGCTTGTAAGCTCTCTGGAAACACAGCTGTGGTGACTAGCAGGCACAGCTGTTACAGCTTCGAGGTGGGCTCTCGTCCTGGGGCGGTGGTACAGAATGCCTTGCTAGCTGTATGGCTGCAGACAGCATTTGCCAGAAACTTGCTGGGTACCCTCATGACTGTTTGAAGGACCAGTGCTCTGCCAGTGAGCTGGTGTACAGGCTGTGTTTCTGCGTCATGGTGTAAAGGCTGAGGCAACGCCTGTGCTTTCTGGGGGATAAGCAGTGCAGCCTGCTCAGTAGTCTGCAGTGCTCTGCACGCTGCCGTTGTCCCGGTCGGAGCTGGCTTACGCTGCCAGTGTTGCTGCAGATCGCCTGTGTGCCACAGAGCGGTACCCAGAGCAAGGGGCCAGTCTGAGGAGCGGGGACTGCCCTTAACCAGCTCTCGCTGATTGTGCCTGCGGCTGGGGGAATGTTAGACGTGGTTTTGGAGAGGCTGTTATCATCCTGATTTTCAGGGCCTGCTGGACACAAGGGCCTAGCTCCCACACAATGTGGTCTCCAGTAGGCTATAATTACAGTAGTGGGAACCCGGGGAGGAGTTTTAAACAACGTCTTTGTGACAGTTCTGGCAGGCCTCACGGAGATTTCTATTAAGCAGTTGTCGTTTCCCCCCTTCACTGTAGCCTGGGAAACGCTACAGCGTTCGATTTGGCTCGGTCTGTTTAGGTTGTTGAGAGCTCCGACTTAGCCGGCAGCAAAGTTTGGCCCTTTCTGCCATGGCTCTGTGTTTCTGCACTCTGATTTAGTGGGTAGCTTGTGGAGACCGTAGTGAGAGTCTGTACTAGCAGCTAAACCATATGCCAGTGCACCCACCGAAGTACAGGCAAAGCCTTGTGTGGTGGAGCAAAGCACAGCTGCAGAGGGTGGAGAAGAATAAAGCCAAGGGTATAAAAAGTCCTTTACTTCCCACTTCAATTCAGTGAATGTGGACAGTGGCAGTGACCATAGCAATCCTCTCCAGCGATCCAGCTCTGGCTCTTTGGGGGAATCATACGTTCACCTGGAGTCACACGGGGAGTTGGGGTGGTGAGGTGGAAGAAGCGGGGGGGCTGTAGCCGGAGGGATGGCCTTAGCACTGGTAAAAGATGCTGTGGGATCTTCAGGTGCTGGGGTGCTCAGGGTCTCTCAGTGCTGTACATGCCACAAGCCCGCCTGCCTGCCTTGGGGTGAGAGCAATTACTGACTGTCTAGCGTTCAGAGGGTCTTCCTGTGTGGGCAGGTTATTTCACAGCTGCATTTAACCTGTATCTCTGCACTGTGCGCTTGTCTTTCCAGGCAACCCAGCACAGCCGGAACAAGCCATCCCCAGACCACGGTGTGGGAGCCGACAGCTGAGAGCTGCCTTTCCAACCTGTTTTAGCCCTGCACCAAGGTTAGAACCAGTCTGGTCAATACCCGTTTCCCTTCCTTTACCGGGGCTGTGTGATGGTCACTGGGAACCCTGTCCTTTCCTCCTCCCTCTCCTCAAGGGTCAGCTCTGTGGGGCCGGTGTCACTGCAGCCAGGTGTTCACATAGCCCAGGCTTCCTGGATGCTCCTGCCTCCCACCTCGCTGGCAGTGTGGCTAAGGGAGGCTGGATATCTATGACCTGTCCTGTTAAGACTGTTGAACCCTGCACGCGGTCAAGAAGCTCAAGGGCAGTATATTTTAAGCCCTTGAGAACTTGTTGTCTGTGCTGCTTGCTGAATCTGTCCTTTCATGCATTGGCACGTTGAACAGGAACGTTTCCCAACTGCTGGTCTCTTCTGCTCACTGTCCTTCACCTGAAAAAACAGAGCTAAGACCTTGCCTGGAGTTCATGACAGGATGCAGGGCTCTTTGCTGGGCTGTTCGCTCCCTTGTGGCTTGCTCTTTTGCCTGGGAATCTCTGTAAGTCCAGGTCTTACTGCTGCTGAAGTTTGGTGCAGAGATTAGGACGGTCTGAGCTGTGCTCAGTGCGGGGGATACAGCGATATACCTGCCAAAATGAGAGGCAGGCTTCCTCCTTCAGGGCCCTTGCTGTTTGTGGGCTCATGCTAGTTCAGAAAGCCTCAGGTAGCCCAAGGACTCTCTTCTGTCTCGTGCAAAGAGCTTGGTGTAGTATTGGGACAGGGCATAAATTGCTTTTCAGAGCATTTGTCAGAGAAGAGGTGAGATTCATGCTTGCTCACAGACATGGTGGATGAACCCTCCCCTCCACGTGCACACTTCTTGTGTACTCAGGGAACTCTAATTCCAGTGTTTTTACCATAGCTGCCTCCTTTCCCCAAAACCCCTTGCACATTACTGTCTTTCCCCGTCAGCACTGGTGCTGGCTGTGTGCTGCCACATTGCTCTGCCTCCTGCTCTCCCCACCAGTCCAGAGACTTTTTTCAATTGGAGTCTGGGCCTCATCCCTTCCTTTCCCTTCTGTTTCCCAGAGAGTGAAGCCTGATGCTGAAGTGGTACCCACAGCAAGCGAGGCAGGGATGCATTCACCTGGGAAGTTAGGAGGCAGAAAGGAAGAAGTCCCTCACCCATGTCAGCCCTGCCCTGTGCAGTGCAGACTTCCAATCACACAATGCAGTAGCAGCAAAGCAGCCCCTTTATCTGGCTGAGGAGGGGCAGTCACTAATACCTGCTCCATGCTGAGATCCCAGGTCTCTCTGAGCAACAGAAAGGAGATGGATTAAGTAGTAAGAGCAGAGGGAAGATTTGGTCTCTGTTCTGCTGGAGTTACTTACAGATCCCAGCCCACCAAGTTCACAGTCTCCTCTCAGGGCTCCCCTACATTTTGACAAGTGGCATTTTAACCTAAAGCTCACCATGTTGGATCCACTTTAATCCCCTTGCTGACCAAACAGCTTGATATCTTCAGGGACAGCAACTCTCCCACACACGTATAATGCAGTTTCCTCCCACTTCCTGGCCATAACATGAAACTTTTTCCCTCTCCTGTAACCCAGGTGATAGCAGTGAGCTGGTACTTGGACTGAGTTAATCTTTCTAGTTCAGTTTAATGCAGCCGGCAGTAATCTGGAAGCAAGTACACCTTGCAGATCCTTGAATAGACTTCTGGCACCTCTGTCAGGAATGAGGCATGATGCCCTTGCTTGCAAGCTCCGTAGACCTGGCTAAGAGGGGGTTTATACCCTCAACCAAAAGTAATCAGCGTGACGCTATTCAGTCTGTCGTTAGCACATTGTGGCTACCATTGTCCCTTGGCCTTACTAGCCGAGGTAGTGCTAGATATTCTTTCCACAGGAAACCCCAAAGAAATGCTGTTCCCCCTTCAGAGATGGGACTCTGGGTTCCTTGTGGGTATTAGCGCTGGAGTTATGTGAGGAATCCCCTCTTTGCCCTACCATCTCTGTTGCGAGTAGGCTGGGCATTCAAAGATGTTGTTCTTGGGAGCGCTGGGACAGCTGAATCCTCGTTCAGTTCTCACTGCTCCCAAGAATGGAGCAGAGGATCATCTGCTGGGGCTAATTTTAGGCCCCCGAGCATTGCCTGTGTCCCTCTGAAGTCCTATTTGTGTGCAATCTTGCCGGCTCCCTGCTAAGAGCTATGTGAGAGTCCTGTATGTTAGTGTGCAGAGGTTCTGCAGGGCCGTAGTGTCCCGGAGATTAGGAAGAACTTTGATTCCTCAGTTACTTAAGGTGTCTAAGCCAAATCCTTTCCCTATCAGATGTATATGTGACCCTTTTTTACAGCCCTAGTGCCAGCACCCTCTTTTCCCTTTGGACCTTGCTTTTGTGGATGCCCATGCATTGCACAGTGGGAAGCTGACTACAAGCTGCCAGCTTCCCTGCCTTGACTGCCAAAAAATGCAGCATCCCTCCTGTTGCAGCAGTCAGTTCGTGTTGTCTTGGAAGGGTGCATCCACACCGAATGCAGTCTTCCACAAAGCCTTTGGGTGTGGAAATATCCCAAGACCCACAAACGAGAGATGAGAGCACCGCTCTGGCCTTTTCTGTACGGCTGCATGGCAGCGTGGCATCTGCCACTGATGTTCTCCAACCAAGCATAGCACAGGGTGAGGCCTCCTGGCCTCACCCTTGTTTATCTACCCAAGATTTTTGGCTTCTCTGAGCTTTTTGGTTTCCACCTGCTCATGTTATTTTTGTCAGGTATCCCGGTTGAGCTGAGGTTAACGCTGAGCTTTGTTAAGTTTCATGTTGAGGCAAGACATAGCTCTGCAGTTTTGGCCCGACTTTATTTTTAGCCCCTTTAAGACATGGTTAATGGTATCGGAAGGAAGTTGTATGGTCTCCTGAGCCCCATGAGTCACCTTGGATCAGGACAGAGGCTTTGCTAGCTTTTGCTGTAACGCTCAAATGATGTAACCGTTTGTGGTGGGCCTTCCTGGATGTGTGGAAGGGCAAGGGAAGGAGCAGCAGTGGGGAGGGAAGCTGAGCTTTTCAGAGTGTTTTGTTTTTTGGTTATCCATTCTGTTAAGTCATTAAATTAATTCATCAAAATATGTTGGCAGGTATCACACCTGGATGTGGTTCAGCAGGATCTTTTGTCTTTCCCTTGCATCTCGTCTGTGTAGGAAAGGAAAGAAAGAGGGGAATTCTGCTTACATGCTAGGTTGGATAATTTTTTAACAGCACATAGCAACAGTCGACAACAGTTTTTAGGACAGGAAGTGAAGCAGGATCTTGTCTCCAATTCAAGCCACAGCAAGGTTAAGTGCAGCAGAACAAACCTGCCTAAAATGGAAATGGGCTGGGACTGGAGACCAGAGACTTATTGTCTTAAGGGATGTCTGCTAGGCTGCAAGAAGAAAAATCCTGGACCTCTGTTTCCATCAAACCTGCTACTGGCACAAGGTAGAAAGAGGTGCGTGGAGCTTTCTCACATCCAGAAAGCCCTCCTGTGCCACTGGTGACAGCGCAAGAGGGCTGGCTGGGCTGGGCAGGGGGCTGCATATCGCTACACGGAGTAGGCAGTACAGGAACGCTTGGCTTGACAGATGGTAACGCTGACTGGCAGAGCGAGGCCCTCCCCCCTGCCGCAACGCAGCGGGAGGATAACGGCTAGGGGGGCTCCCATCTTGGGAGTGGACGAGGTCGGGTGTGGGCACCTGGGCCCGGAGCAGGCACCTGGCAGTTGAAGGGGGTAGGGATGATGGCTCCTGGGGGTGGCTTCCACCTCTGCCCCCTTTTATTCCTCAGGGTGATGAGCTTTTGGGGAGCCCGATGAGGCTTTCGGGTACCCGGAGTAGGTGGTGTATGGGGTGCGCTGCGTTGGGGACGGCGAGGCTGGGGGGGGCCGAGACCAAGGAGGGAGGCCAG